GAGGGAGGGAGGGAGGGAGGGAGGGGGAGGAGAGAGAGAGAGTGTGTGTCAGCCTCTGTTTTGCTGCTTGCTTTTTGGCTGCCATTGAAATGGGGAGGGGGCATGGTATTTGGGTGAGGGAAGTATTCTGTGCAGGAGGGACTGTAATAAGGGAGATGTTCTCACCATCTACTGCGCATGCTGCAGAGAGAGGCCAACTGTCCGGCATTCCAACCTGATGATAATTTTTGACGAAGTCTCCCACATGACACCTGGGGTGGACTATAGGATGGGGTTACCAAGGGGAGGGGAATGGGTTACATATTGATATCTATGATTACGCTCGCTTTTGCCTCAGATCTTGCTTTGCCTAGCTACTATCTACTCATGGCCAGTAAAAGCACTCTTAATTCTGCAAAATGGAGTTGAGTGGTTTCTTTCTTGGTTACTGAGCGAAGTTGCCCTTCCTGTTGCCAACACGGAGCTTTGTTCAGCAGATATAGTCTCATCGTGACTATCTGCCTCTATCTAGGATCAAACTCACAGCCTCCTGATTGCGAGGCAAGAGCTCCACCTCTAGGCCACCGTATCACTCATACTGGATTCCCACCATGAAACTCCCTAAATGAGAAACCTACAGAGAGAACCTAGGGAAATACAATTTTCTTGCTCGTGTTCTCCTGCAATTGGTGTTAGCACCCTGCTGGAGTGAATTTTTTTGGTAATGTTTGCTTTTTTTTAATTTCAATTATCTAGGCACATTAATAATAATGTCAAACTTTTCTAAAGCCATCTTGGACATGTAGCATCTCCAGTTCCACGTAGAGTTCTAATCTGCATTGGATTATCCTAAACTTTATTTTGCTAGCACGTGAAATGATATGGGAGTTGCACACCCTATTAACTCCCTTTCTTTGATACTGATATGTAGAGTGGCTTCTTCCTCTGTGCAAATCTCCAAATTAGCTGCTATAATTTAGTTAGAATCCTTATCGATTCATCTTCTGTTTCTTGCTATATTTCTGTAGCTACTCCACAATTCCTGGAGCCTTCTAATTTGGTAATGACCAGAGCGCTGATCTAACTTCATCTTAAAATGCTAGAGGTTCTTGTAAGTAGGGAATATTTTCTAAGGCAGTGATGGCAAACCTTTTTGGCACCAGGTGCCCAAACCAGAATGCACATGCATGTGTGTGCATGTGCGCATGTTGGATTGCCAGAAACCCCAAGACCAGGTGGGCGGCGTATGCATGCCTGTTTTTTTGGCTGTTTTTGGGACCGTTTTGGCCCAAAAATGGCCTGAAAATGGCCTGAAAAATGGTCTGCTTTGGGGGCATTTTTTGGCCATTTTCAGGCTGTTTTCCAGGCTGTTTTTCAGACCATTTTCAAGCCATTTGTAGGCATTTTTGGGCCATTTTCCAGTGCTCCAGTGCCCGCAAAGACCAGCTGGCTGGCGTGTCAGAAACCAGAAGAGCAGCTGGCGATGGTGCACGTGCCAACAGAGAGGGCTCTGTGTGCCAAGCCTGGCCTGTGTGCCATAAGTTCACCATCACAGTTCTAAGATACAGTATCTTAAACATTCATATTTCCACTGTACAGGATTTCAGTATATCCCTTCTATCTTTGTTTTACCCTATTGGAATCAGTAATTATCTATCCATTGGTGTCCTTTAGCAGACAAATTAGGGGTTGAAATCTTCCGAGTCCAGAGATCTTTTGGAAGTCAATTCCCTATAGATGTTGTAATACAGGTAGTCCTCGACTTACAACAGTTCATTTCGTGACCGTTCAAATGTACAACGGCACTGAAGAAAAGTGAGTTATGACCGTTTTTTTCACACTTACGGCCATTGTAGCATTCCCCCATGGTCACGTGATCAAAATCCAGACCCTTGACAACTGACTCACACTTATGACAGTTGCATAGCCCAAGGTCATGTGATCCCCATTTGCGACCTTCTGACAAGCAACGTCAATGAGGAAACCAGATTCACTTAACAACTGGGTTAGTAATTTAACAACTGCAGTGAGTCACTTTATCAAACTCTGGCAAGAAAAGTCGTAAAATGGGGCAAAACCCACCTAACAAATTTCTGACTAAACTTTGGGCTCAATTGTGGTTGTAAGTTGAGGACTACCCGTGCTGCTTTTTTGCCTCTTCTAACAGCTCTCTTAATATTTTGGGTCAAATTCCTTCCTGAGAACTTTCTTTGCTCTGGCTTCAATCCACTTAATAATTTTCACCCCGTGTTCTAACACCCAGTTTGTTTTCTTCTTTTTCTTGGTCTTTGGCGGTCTCTTCTCATAGTAATTTTCTTAATCCAATCCCTCTGTTTCTTTATCAATGTTTCAGGATTTCGAAGTGATTTGTGATGTTCTCCTTGAAAATGGGTCAAGATATAGCCAGGCTCATATTGTGGAAATTGGCTGGCTTTCTTCTTTCCCCTCTAGCTTAGCTTGGAATGTGAACATGACTAGCTCATGATCTCAACCACAGTCAGCCCCTGGCCCCTTCTTTCCTTAAGATGATGTCATGCTAATGTGTTCCTTGAACCCTGGGACACTCTGTTCACTTTTAGCACAAGAGTAGGCAGCCCCCATTTGGCATCTATTAGAACACACCTCAGATTTAGCAGCAAACCATCATTTTTTTGGGCAGTTTCCAGTTTGTTGCCTAAAAAGGTGAAAAATAGATGTGTTAAACCCCTACAAAGTTTAACACACCTACTTTACACTTTAAACTCCCCCAACCCTTTCTCCCAAATTGTCTTCTGGGCTTCCAGATTTCCCCAATTACCTCCACGTCAGTGGTGGGGTTCAATTTTTTTTACTACCGGTTCTGTGGGTGTGGCTTGGTGAGCATGGCAGGGGAAGGATACTGCAAAATCCCCATTCCCTCCCCATCCTACTAACCTGCTTTCCAGCTCTGTTCTCCTGTACATGGCAACAGAAGAAGACCCAGCCGATCAGCTGGGACTCGGGAGGCAGTGAATAGATCAGGGGCGGGGCCAGCCAGAGGGGGGTATTTGCTGGTTCTCCGAACTACTCAAAATGTCCCTACCAGTTCTCCATCTTTGAAGACCAGCTGACCTTGCACCCATTTATTGATTCTACGCTTAGGGATGCAAATATTCACTTCAGAGGTGGCTTCCTACCAGTACGGTATGGTTTGGCTGAATAGGTAGTAACTCTGGCGGACACGTGACCGTACCGGTTATGTCCTCGGCGATGCCCATCTTGACTTTCCGTTCTGCACATGCACAGAACAATCGTTGTTGAAAAAATGTATTTTCCCTTTTTTAATGTTGTGCACATGCGCAAAATTCTCCGGATACCAAATCAGTAGTAATGGTGGCAGGAACCCACTCCTGATTCAATTGGTGTAAATTTATTAGGGACTCTGAAGGAGGAGCTGGCATGATAACTCTGAGCAGAGCCTCACGGTCAAGGAACAGGCATAGCTGCGATGCCCAATGCAAAATTGTGCAAAAATCCTCCTGGCTCTGATTGCTACCTGTTCCTTTACGTTCTGAATCCAGAAGGACCTCCAGATTACATACAGGATCTGTTTGGGGCCCCACCCAGTACTAAATATGGTTTTTTTTTAAAAAAAAAAACACCCAGATTTAGAAGATTCCAAACACCCAAAGCCCATTCAGCCTGGCTAGATTCAGTTGTAGTCTGTTTTCTCATCCAGACCCCTAAAGCCCCCAGGCACTAGGACAGGACATCCTCCCTTTGGTTTTCATTTCCAGGTTCCACACCCTGAGGGACCTGATCCCACAACTCTGCAATCATCTTTCTTGTAGTTGTGAAAATTTGAGGACCATTAAAAGAAGTTTACATACCTTTCTACTTAATAGAGGAATTTGATTCTTCTACCCTACTGGTATTTAGCGGACACGTCCAGATTAACCATTGTTTTNGGGTCCACTGGTGGAACCTCTTCTAACCGGTTCGGTAGATTTGACGAACTGGTTCTACCGAATAGGTGTGAACTGGTAGGAACCCACCTCTGCTGTGGCTGTACTTGTGGATGGACTCAAGTAGTCCTTCCTTGTCTTCATTCCAATGGATGTTCAAGCACAGGGGTCGTGGCCCTCATTTTCCTCAGGACGTCTCTTCCCTCCCTCAATGTGGCCAGCATCACAACTACAGCCACGCTATTCCCTCCCCAATTCATAATGTCTTTCAAAGGCAACAGAAGGGAACATTTCAAGATTTGTCCCCTACTTCGACGTGCTTCAAGAGAAAAGGAGAAAAAAAATGACTTGGGAAGAGGAAGCCATCTTTTGCCTCTTTTGATGTAAGCTGAATGAAACGCCAAAGATCCCTTACAGATTTGAGACCAGCCATTTCCACCATCGAGATAAGGTTTTCGAAATTTGGAAATTATTTAGGGAAAGGAGGAGAAAGACTTACTTTGTGATTTTTGCCGTGCCGGTACATCATCCAGTCTTCTCCATTCGTGCTGACCTCCAGTTTGTAGGAGCGGACGTAGTACCCATTTTGCGTTTCTCTGGAAATGGCGCCCTGAGTAGCAATGGCTGTGAGCACGGTCAGAAAGCGGAGATCCACCTATTGTAGGAACAGGGGATGATGACAACAGAGGAAGATTAGCGATTTACTCCCATAACCTGAAACGTTTGAGGTTTTTCCAGGCATTAACATTCTTGTGACACTTTAATGAAACTGAATGAAAATGCAGACCAAGATGGCAGAGAATTAGCAAGTCGCTGTCATAAAAATGCAATGAGCCCATCATTCTATTGCAGGATGCCTTCCGGTTGAACCCCACAGAGAGATATCAACAACATACACATGAAGCCTATGGTGCTAAGTGGGTTCCTCAGAATAGCCCATGCTGGGCTGTAATTGCTTCAGGAGCAGGGGTGGGTTTCAGGCGGTTCGCGGTGGTCCCCGCGAACTGGTTGGTCGGCGAACCAGGAAGTAAGTAACTTCGGGGAACGCCGAAGGGTCCACCCGCCCGCCCGCGTTTCTTACCCGGTTTTGACAAGTTCTGCGCTTCCACGCATGCGCAGGATGCATACAGTGCCTGCGCGATCCTCCAGGGTCCAGCTGGAGCATCGCACAGATGCTAGTACACATGCACGAGGATGCCGCCGGCCCCGTTCCAACCAAACTGGTTGGAACGGGGCGAGAAACCCACCCCTGTTCAGGAGCATGTGTCTGACAATCAGGATTGGTGCTCAGCTAATATGAATTAGCACAGTGGTTCCCCAACTTGGCAACTATAAGACTTGTGGACTTCAACTCCCAGAATTCTCCAGCCCGCGCTGCTGGGCGGGGGATTCTGGGGGGTGAAGGCCCCAAGTCCTTTAGTTTCCAAGTGGGGGNTTGGCACCATGTCCAAGAATTTTACAAGATACATCAACAAATTGGTACTTGGTTGATACCTAGGATGCTGGCAGCAAACTGTATCAACCATTAGCACCAGTCACTGGTATTTCTAATGCATTTTTTAATGTTCAGTTGGCTGAGTTTCATGTTTAATGAATAAAGCATCTAACAACAACAACAACAATAATAATAATAGAAGATTAGGATTAATTGGTATCACTTAAAAATATTTTTAGAACAAAATGACACTCCAAGTATACATGTCTCAGGACAAGGAAGCAATTATGATTTCAATGAATTTAACATGCAAAATTTGTACATGTTAAAAGGGTTTTTGAAAAAATAAGGTTGACAAAAAGGATTTTGTTAGTAAATTATATCAGGAATGTGGGGGTGATGGTTAAACATGGAATGCATGTGTAAGAGTATACCCACTAATCAGAAGAAACAATTTTTTTCGTTCTTTGTTAGTTGCTTCCTCTTCAATTCAAGGTATATCAACCTTTAAAAAAATATTCACACAAATGGGAACCAGTGAAAGGAAGAACAGCAAACCTCAGGTTCATATCAATAAATGTCTTGAAAGAGTATCCATGAAAGAGAACAGGACTGTATTCAGGAAATGTTCCCACTTGTGTTATTAATATATAATTTGTATATAGAACTAATATGTTTCTTTTGATATTGACACACCTTGAATCGAAGAGGAGGCAACTAACAAAGAACAAAATAAATCAATTGTTTCTTCTTATTAGTGGGTATACTCTTACACATGCATTCCATGTTTAACCATCATCCCCACATTCCTGATATAATTTACTAACAAAATCCTTTTTGTCAAACTTATTTTTATGTGTGTCATCAAAGCACTTTGTCATGGGAAGAAAACAATGCTTGAATCATGGAAGAAAAAGCCATAAATTTCTTCATGAAAATCAAGAAGCTGGATTTCTTAGTCTTCTTAGTTTTAGCCCTACCATATCTGCTTTTAGCTTTCTAAAACTTGCCACCATAGAGGAATCATCACCAAAAGTAAACAAGGTTCAATGCCATCTCTCCACCATAGCAAATTACAAATTACTGAGAAAAAGCTAACATTCTTTCACTTCATAGGTAGAATAGAAAATCACCCATATGACTGATCATAAATAAAAGCCCAGTCAGAAAAAAAAAATCATTTTTTCTCCTCACCTTGCCTTTTACATGCCTTCATTTCCTCATGTCTCAGGCCCATGTCATTGCACTGATCCCCCCCTCCAGTTTCTTGAGGTGTTCTTTCCTCACTTTTCCCAATTTCCCATGCTCTGTTGGCCTGGATTTGAGTGGCAGCTCGGAGTTTGTAAGCAGGTGTTGTGGAAGTGAAGCGTGCTATTCAGCCAGTACATTAGGTAAAGTAACAGTCTCTTGGGAATGCTAATGCTTACAACTGCATCAGTCCCAACTGTTCTTCAGAGAAGAGAAAAGGGACAATCCTGACCTATTCAGACCAGATGTTTTGGAAACCTGCCCATTTTTAGCAGGCATAATTGCTGTTAATTTATCAAAAGTGTAATAAGTACCAAGGAAGCAGACTGTTTAGGTGCCAGCACTGAAAAAGAAAAGGGAGATTAGTTGTATATAACATGGGCTACACATACATGCACCCTCTCATTATGGATCTTTTAGACTATTTATTAAACCAGCTAATATAGCTTTTGTTCAAGAAATCTGATTTGTTTTACTCATGAGTAAAATGAGCAAAACTTTTTATTCCTAGTCCAACTAACATATCATCTTCTATCAAAGTGCACCTTAAGAAAGTAGTCAGGTTTTATGAGAGAAATAGCTGAGTGACCTAAAGAATGTGTGGAAAATCTCAGCATTTGATCGTGGAAGTGTTTGACTTGGAATCCTATGAGGAAAATTTCTCTTTTGCTTCCTAAACAATTATTTTCAAAGGCCAGATAATGGATTGGTAGATGGTGAGATGGAGAAGATTATGAAAATGATTATTTGCTTATATTTGGGCTTTGAAAAAGCAGGATAAAAAGAATATCAACATGTTAAAACTTTGATATTTGAGAAGAGTCTTGAGAATATTGTGGACAGCCAAGAAAACAAACTGATGGGTCATAAAAAAAAATCAAACCACAGGTGGACACAGGGGTGGGTTTCAACCGGTTTGCGGCGGTCCCTGCAAACTGGTTGGTCGCCGAACCCGGAAGTAAGTAACCTCCAGGAACGGCGAAGGGCGCGCCCGCCCGCAGTCTTTACCCAATTTTGACGAGTTCTGCACTTCCACGCATGCTCAGGACACATACAACGCCTGCGCGATCATCCAGGAGCAGCTGGAGCGTCCCGCAGACGCTAGTACGCATGCGTTCACCACGCGCGTGCACGAGGACGCCGCCGGCCCCGTTCCAACCAAACCGGTTGGAATGGGGCGAAAAACCCACCCCTGGGTGGACATTATCCTACTTTGATGTGAAGACCTAGCTCTCTGGAAAATGCTCTAATGCTGGAAAAGGTGGAAAGAAAGAGAAGATACCCAGCAACAAGGTGGCGTGCATCACTAAAAGATCTGAAAGACCATTTTAAGGTAAGATCATCAAAAAATCTACTTTTTGGTCACTAAGATTTGACAGTGACTTGACAGCACATAATCAATCAATTACACATTCAAAGTGCCCTAGTTAATTTTGAAATAAATTTTGATTTCTTATGGCTTGCTCCCCAACAAACCACTTATTCTGCAAATTTCAAGTGCCCAACAATAAATTATTGTTAACATAATGCTATGTTGTTGTCAGAATATATTGAGTATTTCCAAGTTGGCTTCCTTGGATAAGAAAATGATTTGTGAGGAACACATAAGCAAGCAGCTTAAGCAGTCCACCAACAAATGTCACTTCCTTGCTGAATGAGAGAGACTTCATGAAGACATTTCAAAATTTTCTTCTCTTCCTAGATGGGAGGATAGGTGAATGGGAAAGAAAATACATAATCAACCAATTTAAAAACTTCTCACTACTAAGAATTGGAAGACATTACAAAAATTATCCTGGTTTAAGTGGGCAAAATATAACTGATTGTATACGAACAAACAAAATTGAATTCAAGAAGAGTGCAGCAATGGAAAAATAAAGGGAAAGACTGAAGTACTGTCTTCTTATCTGTCATAAATGAGCAAATGAAAATTAGGCATTTGAGGCACAGAACCCTAAATCCATGAAAATACATAAGCAAATCCCAGAGCTATTTTTCCTAATTCTTTTTTTTTCTGTAAATGTGTTTTTATTTTCCATTTTCATTTTCGTACAGTCA